TACTGACGCTTCCATGATGATCAATCAACTGAGCAGCAAAACATGAAGATAAAACTGGAAACAGTTTCTTACATTGAGGTAGACTTTCTAGGTTTATCATTAGTTCTCAAATAGTATTTTCAAACTTTTCCTTTTAAAGAAAAATAAATGAACAATGCAACCAAGGACTGTTAATATCCCCCCCCTTGTTGAGGGGAATATAATCAGATTCCCACATTATTATGCACTGGGCAAACTAGATAAAGATGAGAAAATGCGGAAAATAATTAATGAAAAAGAGCAAGAACAATAATAATGAAAAAGAAGCAATATCTAGAATCTACATGACATGAAGAACCAATTTTCTTTCCACCAGCGCCGTTTATCTAAAAAAAAAAATTTTTAACTTATTTTGATTTTCTCCTTAGCCTTCTTTCTCTTTCTATTTATCCTCTTTTTCTATGTTTAACTTTTGGCATAAGTCCGAACCATGGTTTTTATTCTAATATTGAAATCCAATCCTGTCTGTCTATCCTTCTAATCCTTCTAACCTTCTATCCTTCTATCCTTCTAATCGTTCGATCCTTCTAATCCTTCTATCCATCAATCCTTATAACCTTCTTATCCATCTATCCTTCTAATCCGCTATCCTTCCAATCGTTCGATCACATTTTAGCCTACTAATCTGCTATCCCCTTCCTATATTCTTTATTTCTTCCTATCTTTTATTCTATATTTTTTCCTATCGTTTCTTCTTTTGATCTTTATTTCTCTTTGCGAAATCTTCTTCTTGTATAATTTTCTTTTCTCTTTCTAAGTTTAATTTTGTTGATTCCTTTATTCCCTTTTTGCCAAGTTAATTCCCTTTATTTATTCTTATTTTCAATTTTTTTCTTTATCCTTAACCTATTGTTGTTCCACCATTTTCTTTCTTGTTCCACTTTTTTATATTCTCTGTTTATCTTCTGTTATCCTGAATTAATGGATTTATCTTACTGTACTCGCTGTACACAATTTTTGTTATATCTAAATTGGCCCGCATGATCTGTAAATGTCTATATTTCTATATTTGAGACAAAAAATAATAATAATTGTTGTTATCAACTATACACTATACAGCTAAAGTAACCGTCTTAAAAAGTTGGTGTCAATCTGAGGGAAACCGAGATGGGGGGCAAAATTATCGTTAAAAACAATGTTGTTACATGCCCCACTTCAAACTAAAGCAAATTGCACATAAGCAAAAAATCTCATATGTTTTAAATCATAACTCCTCTTATTGAAGAGCTATTGAGAAGAACAAAAATATTTTGAATTTCTAATATGCAACAATCAGATTAAGTTGCTTTTAGCTACGAGGTCACAATGCCGGGCCAGTAATGTCGCATTCATTTGACCTTTTTCTTCTGAGAATATGCAACTTTTTTGTTATATCCCTAGAGTTTTGGTTTGGACGCCGGCAAAATGTAACATAAACACAAATATATATCTATATTTTGACGCTTTGCTTTACAAATATTGGAATACAGTAAGAACCAGAAAATTCTGGAATAGTAATACGACATTTATACACGAATTATGACTATAATAGTCCAACGAACATGAGAAACAACAATTGTCACTGTGCAGTGAAAATTTTATAAGTTATTTAATAGTTTACTTCTGAAACTTTTTTTTGCGTTGTAAAACATCAAATACACTATAATGTCGTCTCCGTATTCCGCAGTTTTCTGGTTCTCACTGCACCAAAGATTAATTAGTTCTCCAGGTCGCCTGTATGTTTAATCTGCATGAGCTTAGGAACTGAACACTGTGTTCTGTATCCGACCAACTGAACATAACATCTATTGTTCTATTCTCTTATATATATAAATATATATATATTTATATATCTTTTATACACTGTCACCAAGCACTAAGATGGAATACAAACAAAGTAAACATATATTTGAAAAAAGTGATAAGTGGAATACTCTATAAGAGGAAGACGGCATTTACTAGTAAGTTATATTAAATCCCTGATTAAGTGAAATGGGTCTGTTTACACGATACAGTTGCTGTGTCTCATTTTCAGTGTAATACTTAAAGCCAAAACTTGAGTCTAAAAGTAAACTTCCTATTTTTCTGGTTTTTGTTATCTTATTCTCACTGTATATGAATAGATAAATCTTTATATAAATAGATAAATCTATATATAAATAGATAAATCTATTTATAAATAGATAAATCTATTTATAAATAGATAAATCTATATATAAATAGATAAATCTATATATAAATAGATAAATCTATATATAAATAGATAAATCTATATATAAATAGATATGCCAACTCCACCATCCCCTTTATATATAAAATAGATAAATCTATATATAAATAGATAAATAAATAGATCGTGTACATAGATGAGAAAGGTTGACTGAGAATTTGGAACTATGTAAATGTTAATCCCTTCATAAGGTACTAATCTTTACTAGTTCTACGGATTAAGTTAATCCCTTCATAAGGTACTAATCTTTACTAGTTCTACGGATTAAGTTAATACGGTTTACGCATACATTTAGGTCCGGGACTGTGAACCAAGGATGTAATGCAAGGAAAGTTAATTATGGTCGTGTATACTCTGCGTACATATTGAAACCAGTTCTCTTTGGGCGGAATTTGTAAACAAGAATAGATGCATCAGTGTTCGTTTAGTATCCGAGGAGGTTAAAAGCATTAAATTTTGATAATTCACATAATAGTTTCCTATGAACAGAATATTTCATTGATTTTTTCATGTGAAAGATGGATCCCATGTCAGGCTGTAACATCCGTCTTTTGTTTACATTACCGCCAAGAGACAGTACACTGCAGTACAAAAGATGCATACACTTCTGAAATAACTTTCCTTGCATTAAATCCTTGCTTTGAACTGCCTACTCCATGCCGGTTAAAATTTGAATCACCAATTTAAACCTTTCAACTGGCAGTAAGTAGTTTAGCGAAGAAAGGTTAAATTAATTAAATTCGGTTCCAAATGAATCAAAAGTAAACAAATAGCCTCTTGCAGCCAATGAGGAGTCACTAAAACACTAAATTACTTCAAATTAAAAGTTTCAAGTTCTGTAGATTTAGATGAACGTTATATTAAAGTTCTGAACTCTGATCAAATATTAAACAATAATTCATTTCTACATTGAAAACCTCACATAAACATTTCAAAATACCCATCATTCGACACTGCGACAAAATTATATAAAATCTGGTTTCTACACAGGGGCGTATAAAAAAAATCAACCCCCCCCCTTTTTAAAAATAATTTACTCTAAACACTCCTGTTTCTTCATGAATGGATTTTGGTGTAAACATGGAAAGAACAGATTAAAATAAATTATTTTTGGAAATCCTGAATATTTAAGAAAGAATTGTTTTAAACTTTTTAAATGAACAAAACTTGGACGACGAAAAAATTTTAAAAATGTACGAAAAATTTCACTTAAAATTACATATAATTCAAGCAATAAATGATTGTTTGTAGAGTCGAGACGATTGAACAAAAGACAATGTTTGATGTACATTGTACATAATGACACTGATGTCTGACAGAAATATTATTCCCCTATTCCGATATTGTACCAGGTCCAAGTGTCCCAATAAACCGGGGTATTTAGTAACGATGTAAAATTATCTTTGAAAATTATTTTTGAATTATTAAACTTTGTTTTTCTTGCAGTTTTTGTAAATTATTAAAAAAAAAACACTTTATCAGCAAATATCAACCATATTCAGTATCTTTAAAAATTTTGAAATATTTCAAATTTTCGTATTGAATTAAACTTATTGAAAAAGAATGATCCTCAATTTTGCCAATTTTTGAGAAACTGTGGAAATCCTTGACAATAAAATGTAAAATACAAGATGTAATTTAACTGGTATTTTTACAATGACACCCTGTAGACGATTAAAGTTTAAGATGGATCTAAAAGGTTTGACTAAGTTTGATTATACTCCTGCAGTAAACAAACAAGGAGACACAAATATAATTAGTTTTATGTACTTTGGTACTTCGTAACTTTTAAAGGATTTGATTTATGTACTTTGGTACTTCGTAACTTTCAAAGGAATTTATTTATGTACTTTGGCACTTCGTAACTTTTAAAGGATTTGATTTATGTACTTTGGTACTTCGTAACTTTTAAAGGAATTTATTTATGTACTTTGGTACTTCGTAACTTTTAAAGGAATTATTGATTAGGTTTAAGTTCTATTTATTCAAAATTAGTAATTGACAATAATTAACCCCCTTTAACTTGTGCAGACTGGAGAAACGACTGTACGGAATCAATACTGTCTGTTTCTATATACCCTGCAAACATGTAGTCTCCGACAAACCGAGGGCGAAAATATAAAGTTCAGAACCTAGATGAGCTATCTTTTCTAATTTATCTAGGGTCAAGAATTATTTACCTGCTAACTTCGCCATCGGCATATAGAGTCGGTAAAAATGTTTCCTGGGTACAAATTCATGTTTCTCTGCGACTGTAAACTTGTTTCTTTCTTTTCAAATAAAACAATATATCAATGGCAGAAGACTTAATTTAACCTTAAATTTGTCATTTGCAAAGAGTTTTAGGTCGTCTTTACAGTCTCGTCCTTGTGGGTAACTCTGTAAAGCAAAAAAGGGCAGCTAAAGTAATATAAAATGAAAACTTTTTTGGTAACTTTTTGTAAGACCAGCCTTTTAAAAAACTGGGCCTGTAAGTTTAAATGTTTTTTATTGCTATTTTTTTATTTGTACCGAAAATATGCTTAAGGGTCACAGGTGAGAAGATGTTTACAGAATCTGTAAAAATATTTGAAATATTCATTTATTTTTGTGATTTTAAACGATTTTTTAATGTATAGTAAAAGTAGTAGTTCACCTTAAAGGAAATAATAATGAGGAAGCAAATTTGTTGTTGCTTATTAGAATCTCCTCTCAAGAAGTATATGTGTTGTTGCTTATTAGAATCTCCTCTCAAGAAGTATATGTGTTTTATATCAGTCTGCCCCATATCCTGCCACCTTCAGGAGTTCAGGTAATCTAGGATGAGTTTTTTGAGTTCAGTTCAAATCATAAATTTTATCATTTTCATGATGATCTCATTGTTCGCATAGCTGTAGTCTCTTCTTGTTATTGTTATATAAGTTCGCATACCTCTAGTCTCTTCTTGTTATTGTCATTGTTCGCATAGCTGTAGAGTCTCTTCTTGATTTTTTGGTTTTGTCAATTTTTGAAAATAATTTTTTTGAACCTTGGATGTTATTGTTATTTTTTCAACTCCAGTTCCTGCCTTTTATCCATTTTATGTTTAGTTTCGGTTGTTATAATGGTTGTTATCAATTGTTTTATTTGTGTTACAGTTATAAATCTAGTTTTTTTTTGTTATGATTGTTTGGTTGGTTTGGTTTGGTGGTTGTTATAAATCTAGTTTTCTTTGTTATGATCGTTTGGCTGGTTTAGTTTGGTGATTGTTATGAATCTTTTTTAGTTTTCTTTTTAATAATTGTTTGGTTGGTTTGGTGGCGTTTTAAATCTAGTTTGTTATGATTGTTTGTTTTGGTTGTTGTTATAAATCTACTTTTGTTTGTTATAATTCTTTGTTATGATTGTATGGTTTGCTTGTTTTGGTGGTTGTTATAATCTAGTTTTCTTTGTTATTATTGTTTGGTTGGTTTGGTTTGATAATTGTTTTGAATCTTGTTAAGTTTTCTTTTTAATAATTGTTTGGTTGGTTTGGTTTGGTGGTTGTTTTAAATCTAGTTTTCTTTGTTATGATTGTTTGGTTGGTTTGGTTTGGTTGTTGTGGAATGTTGTTATATTTGTTTACAATGCTTAAAGTATGTAAACATAAGTTTTAAAGAAAATAAATATTTTTCTTTCAAAATTTGTTAAATTAAATTCAATCTACACTAAGCATTGCGTTGAAGGGATCCTTTCAGCCTAATTTAAGGTGAACACTTAATTAAAGGGAATTTTAGAGTTTAGAATGTTTATATAGTTTACTAGAAAAAGTGTAAACCATAGAGAATAGAATATATATTAGAGTGGAATTTAATAGAAAAAAGTGTAAAACGGCCATTTTGTTGTACTGTTTCCATACTGCAGGTGTACTTCACATATTTATGCTATATAACCTTTTGGGCCCTGGAATATCATTTTATAGAAAATCTAAAATTATTGTTAAAAGAAAACCAAATTATGAAATAGGCTGGTTTCATAATTGACCAATGATCATTTCACATAGACTCTATGCCTTCCACTTTACAAACGATGATTTTCCGTTATAACTATAAGTCAAATAATGCTTTTTATTCACCTAATTCATTATAAAGTTTATTTAACAGCTTTAAAATTCGAAATTGAAATGAATAGTCTAGGGACCATACTGTATTAATATACTCTACTTCACATAATTTGTGAACATTTACATGATTTGTACACTTTGAACTCCCTTTCAGGCTGAAAGGGACTGAAAAAATTCATACCGAGAGCTTCTTTTAATTCCTCTCTAATATATATTTTATTCTTTATGGTGTAAACCCACCCGCCATTTTACAAACTTTTAATATTCTGTACTGTATACATGTACACTGTACATACAATTTGTGACCATTTACATGAAATGTTTACTTTGAACTCCTCTTCAGGCTGAAAAGGACTAGAAAAATCATGCCTGAAAAAAAAAATACTATTAGTATCAACTCGATTGACTCTTTTATTGAATAGGGAATTGCCCGATTCACAGTGGTACCCTTTGAACCTTTGTCAGGGCAAAACCTGTTGAGATTTAATTGTATTTCTAAAAATGTATTTTAAGAAAACTGTTGTGTATTGATCATGCAATACTTTTAAATAAGGAACAATTCGACAGTCCGGCCGGGCATATAAACAATAAAAAGAACGCCACTAAAAACACGTTCACAATATTTATATCTTAATATAATATTTTAATATTTTTTTAATATTTATATTTTTAATATTTTAATTATTATAATATATTCTATAATATTTTGGCATAAATTTTGTCATTTTTAAAGGGAATTAGAGAAATATTGTCCGCTCTCCTCTTTATGGGAAGTTTCTAAAGGGACCGTTTACTGTTTAGGACATGGTTCAAGAAACGATTTTAGTTTTAGTTCAGGATTTTTTTACACTTTACAGGGATATGCGGGGAAATTCAAATTTAACATATTTTATAATCAAGGATTCAGCTTTCTTCAACTATCTATATGTAAAATAAAAATGATAAATACTTTTATTCATTGGGATTTATAGAACTGTGCATAGTAAAATGACATTTAAGCATACTTTTACATATAGGAAATCAACCTATCAACGGAAATGGGTCTGTGAACACTTTACAAATGCTGTTTTTATTATTCATGGACTTTTAAAAATCATGACTTCAGTTTAACCTTAGCTTAATCTGATCAAAAATGAATTGGATATCAATGTTTTCAATTTAAAAAAACTGAGTATTTTTAATTTTGGTTTCTCTAAAAAAGTAACTTACGCATTTCTATTCTGCAGGAAAACATATAGACAGGGTACCGTTGAGAATCGGGCATTGTCATTAATGTATGAAGGGTCACTTTAAACTATGCTTAAAGTCCCTTACAGAATTCCCTGCATTATTAATACTATCTATACCTTTAATATATTTCATTATTCTGTTAACAAAAATTAAATGCATCAAATTTAATGATTGAAAAACGATATAATTACAGAAAACTTCGTCAGATGTTAAAATATTATTTTAAAAATTTAGAAATGTTTAAATAAATTAAACTTTAGTTTGTTTAATAATTTCTTTAATTGTTGTATCGTTATTAAACTTAATATACATAATTTTGCAAAGAATTATTGTGCAAAGAATCATTCAAATTTTGTTCAAATGTAATTTTAATTTCGATGAATCATTATTTCATATCGGAATATACGAAAAGTAAAAATGTTTAGGTTTTTAAATATTTCCAATCACATTTAAATTTAAAAAGTCTTTAAATTTGTGACTTAAATGCTGCTAATGCTTTTTTTAAAATATTTTTAAATTGTACCTACAGTACATAGGAGTTTACGCCAGCCAAGGCAAAGGTCGGGTGTCTTAATATTTTTTTTTAAATGTTGTTATATTTCAAAGTTTGAGTGAAAACTGGGGGAAAAATCATTAACTCTAGATCAATGTGAAGTAATAGCAAGATGGCAATAAAAAAATATACGTTAGAGAAATTCCTCGCTCTATATTTTGTAGTCTTTGAATTCCTTCTACAATCCGTCTATAATTTATAGTATTAGATCTTAGATAATCCTTCTATCAGCCGTCTATATCATATAGTCTTTGATCCTAGATATACCTTCTACCAGCCGTCTTTATTATATAGTCTTTGATCCTAGATATACCTTCTACCAGCCGTCTATATTATATAGTCTTTGATCCTAGATATTCCTTCTATCAGCCGTCCATATTATATAGTCTTTGATCCTAGATATGCCTGGAAATGAGAAGATTGGAAGTGGGACTGGAGTGGATCCTGACCCTGCTCCCTACCTCTACGTTACCTTCGACATGAAGAGGAATGACATGAGCAAACCCTACGATCCTAAGAAGTAAGTTAATTTATCATTTAAGAATCAGATGTTAAGAAATATCTAAAAATTGTAAAAGTTTTCTTTTTTCAAATTATGCAATATTTTGACTCTGGCAGAAGATGTTAACAGAAGAAAAGATAACGATCGGCTGTTTGTTAACGGTTTGTTTTTTTCTTCCGCTAAAAACGGAGAGAACGGACTGCACAGGGACAGTAATCAATGAATTTGAGCGGCGTAGCTGAACACTTACCGTCGGTTAAAATTTGAACTTCTGATTCAAAATTAAAGATTAAGAAAGGTTTTGAATCGGTGATTCAAATTTAAACCTGGTTTAAATTTTTCCTATTTCAACTTAATTCATCTTTCTGTTCAAGTTGTTTGAATTATTTGGCAGAGGTTTATTAGACCTTTGTTCAAACATTTCAAGATTATAATTAGTTTTCTACACTTTGATTCATTTCTCACCTACTCTTTTCCCCATCCTTTCTTTTTATGCCATTTCCATTTTATTTCTTTGCTTTTCCTTCTTCTACATATTTATTTTTTACATTTATTTTTCATTCTGACTCTTTCGACACTGTATCTTTTTTCGGGTATTACTTTCTTTTTCTTTATCAACCTTAATAGTTTCTCAACCTTAGTTCACAATCACAAATCATAATTTTTTCTTTTCGTTTTTTAATCGTCAAAGACACAAATCCTTTTTTCATTCTTTATTGGACCCAGTTCTCTCCAAACGATATACGCATCTGCAATACTTAGCTCAATGTTTCAAGAACTACAGTAATAACCAGAAAACTGTAAAATTTAAAGACGACATTAAAGGAATACTGAATGCATTTGTTACAAAGCAAATAGCTTTTCTAATAATTTGCTAACTCACTTATTAAGTGAAATTGGTCTGTTTGCACTGCACAATTGCTGCGCCTCATGTTCATCGGACTATTTAAAGCCATAACTTGAGTCTATAAAAGTCTACTTTCTATTCTAGAGTTTTCTGGTTATCACTTTAGCTCAAGACAGGGTTTTCTGGTTATCACTTTAGCTCAAGACAGAGTTTCTGGGCGTCATTAAAGCCATATCCTATGTGGGTTTGGGTTTGATTTGATTGTTACTTTGATGTGTAAACTGATCTACATTTGATTGAATTTTAAAATAATTTTTGCAAACTCTCTTGAATTTCCATCAGTCATCAGTGCAAAACTAGTGGGCTATTGCTTTTTTCATCGTAATTGTAAAATTTATCCAAATTTTTTTCAATATTATTTATTATTGTCAAAGAAATATAAATGTCGGAAATTTTCCTTGGCAAAATATTTTTTCATTTCCATAAGTCTTCCTTGGGGCCAAGTGAGATGCCGCAAAATTTTGGCCTAATCGGTCCAGCCGTAAATTTACCGTTTATTGGAGATAATCAAACAAGCAAAGTATATGTATATATATAGAATATTGTGTGACAACCTTTGCTTAGGTCCTACTGGGTTCCTGATGGTGAGGGAGGGTTCCTGGAGGGTCTCTTGGAGAGCGAGAACGGAGGGAAGGTTGTCGTTATGATCCAACATGAGAAGAGAACCTTGAAGAAGGAGCAGATTCAGCAGGTAAGGTATTAAAGGGACTTTAAGAAACATACTTAAAGGGACTGTACCAGATACACATTTAAAGGGATTTTATCAGAAACATAAAAAAAGGTACAATCGGAAACACTTTTAAAGAGGCAGAATCAGAAACGCGTTTGAGACAGTACCAGAAACACATTTAATAGGACCTTATCAGAAACAAATTAAAAGGCACTATCAGAAACACATTTAAAGGGACTGTTGCTGAGACACGTCTAAAGGTACTGTATCAGTAACACATTTAAAGAAGCTGTATCAGTAAGACATTTTAAGGGACTGTATCAGTAACGCATTTAAAGGAACTGTATCAGAAGCATATTTAAAGGGACTGTATCACTAACACATTTAAAGGGACTGTATCACTAACACATAAAAAGGGACTGTATCACTAACACATAAAAAGGGACTGTATCACTAACATATTTAAAGAAACTGTATCAGTAACACATTTAAAGAGGCTGTATCATGTAACAAATTTGAAGGGATTGTATCAGTAAGACATTTGAAGGGACTGTATCACTAACACATATAAAGAGACTGTATCACTAACACCTATAAAGAGACTGTATCAGTAATAAATTTAAAGGGACTGTATCAGTAACACATTTGAAAGGACTCTATCAGTAACACATTTAAAGGGACTGTAACATTAACAGAGAAACATTTATAGGACCATACTGTAGAAACAAATTTAAAAAGACTGTACCAGAAACAGATATACAGAAGCTGCACCAGAAACAAATATATAGGAGCTGCATCAGAAACAGATTTATAGGAGGTGCACCAGAAACAGATTTATAGAAGCTCAACTAGAAAAAAATATTTAGTAGCTGCATCAGAAACAGATTTATAGGAGGTGCAACAGAAACAGATTTATAGAAGCTGCACCAGAAACAGATTTATAGGAGCTGCATCAGAAACAGATTTATAGAAGCTGCACCAGAAACAGATATATAGGAGCTGTACTAGAAACAGATTTATAGGAGCTGTACCTGAAACCGATATATAGGAGCTGCACCAGAAACAGATTTATAGGAGCTACACTAGAAACAAATTTATAGGATCTGTACCAGAAACAGATTAATAGGAGCTGCACCAGAAACAGATAAAGGAGCTGCACCAGAAACAGATTTATAGGAGCTGCACCAGAAACAGATTTATAGGAGCTACACCAGAAACAGATTCATAGGATCTGCACCAGAAACAGATTTATATGATCTGCACCAGAAACGTATTTATAGGAGCTGCACCAGAAACATATTTATAGGAGCTGACCTGAAACAGATATATAGGAGCTGCACCAGAAACAGATTTATAGGAGCTACACCAGAAACAGATTCATAGGATCTGCACCAGAAACAGATTTATATGATCTGCACCAGAAACGTATTTATAGGAGCTGCACCAGAAACATATTTATAGGAGCTGCACCAGAAACATATTTATAGGAGCTGCCCAGAAAAAAAATATAAAACTATAGCCTTTTAAAAGTGTTATAATAAAAATATTTCCAAGAAATCGTCTAAAAACAATAGTTTACAGTTTCCTTTATTAATCAAAATTTGTTTTATTATTCCCGACAAATTTACTTTTTTTGGACTGTTCTACAATGATTACACAGGGCCAAAAATGTGACTTGGAAAACTTTGTGTGACGGTGTATTTGTTGTATTTGCTGTATAAAATGAATGAGAGGTTTGAATATGAATTGCCTGTTTCAAATTCTGGTTGTTAATAATTTTAAATTTCTTTATTCACATTTTGAAATTATGTAAATTAGCTTTAGTTATGTATTTATGGACATGAAACAAAACCAGGGGGTTGGGGGTATCTAAAGAGAATAGATACTTTTTTATCCCAATAAATACAGTGTAGTGGTGTAGGGTTTAGGCCAGTTTAGTATGTGTAGTATTTTAGGGTTTAGACTGGTTTTGTATGTGTAGCAGTGCGGTGTTTAGACTAGTTTATATTCGTAGTAGTGTAGGGTTTAGACTAGTTTATATGTATAGTAGTGTAGGGTTTAGAATAGTTTACATGTATAGTTTAGGGTTAAGACTGGTTTTGTATGTGTAGTAGTGCGGTGTTTAGACTAGTTTATATGTATAGTAGTGCGGTGTTTAGACTAGTTTATATGTATAGTAGTGTAGGGTTTAGACTAGTTTATATGTATAGTAGTGTAGGGTTTAGACTAGTTTATATGTATAGTAGTGTAGGGTTTAGACTAGTTTATATGTATAGTAGTGTAGGTTTTATACTAGTTAGACTAGTTTATATGTATAGTAGTGTAGGGTTTAGACTAGTTTATATGTATAGTAGTGTAGGGTTTAGACTAGTTTATATGTATAGTAGTGTAGGTTTTATACTAGTTTACATGTAAAGTATAGTGTAGGGTCTAGACTGGTTTTATATGTGTAGCAGAGTGGTGTTGAGACTATGTAGTTTATATGTATAGTAGTGTAGGGTTTAGAATAGTTTACATGTATAGTTTAGGGTTAAGACTGGTTTTGTATTTGTTGTAGTGTAGGGTTTAGACTTGTTTTATATATGTTGTAGTGTAGGGTTTAGACTGGTTTTGTATGTGTAGTAGTATATGGTTTAGACTGGTTTTATATGAGTTGTAGTGTAAGGTTTAGACTGGTTTTGTATGTGTGGTAGTGAAGGGTTTAGACTGGTTTTGTATATGTTCTAGTGTAGGGTTTAGACTAGTTTATATGTATAGTAGTGCAGGGTTTAGACTGGTTTTTAAACTTTAATTGTGTAAAGTTAAATTATTCTAGGACATATCCTGAACTTTAAACTTTATCCATTCAGACACATTCATTGTACATTACTCTAATTATACATTAGTAGATACATCTGACCTACCTGACCTACCTGACCTACCTGACCTACCTGACCTACCTGACCTACCTGACCTACCTGACCTACCTGACATACCTGACCTACCTGACCTATCTGACCTACCTGACCTACTTGACCTACCTGACCTACCTGACCTACCTGACCTACCTGACCAACCTGACCTACCTGACCTACCTGACCTACCTGACCTATCTGACCTACCTGACCTACCTGACCTATCTGACCTACCTGACCTACCTGACCTATCTGACCTACCTGAACTACTTGACCTACCTGACCTATCTGACCTACCTGACCTACCTGACCTACCTGACTTACCTGACTTACCTTACCTACCTGACCTATATGTCCTACCTGACCTACCTGACCTACCTGACTCACCTGACCTACCTGACCTACCTGACACATCTGACCTACCTGACACACCTGACTTACCTCACCTACCGGACCTACCTGATATACCCGACCTACCTGACCGACCTGATATACCTGAACAACCTAGTCTACCTGACCAACCTGACCTACCTGAACAACATGACTTACCTGTCCTACCTGACCTACCTGACCTACCTGTCTTACCTGATCCACCTGACCTATCTGTTCTACCTGACCTACCTGACATACCTGAACTACCTGACCTACATGATCAACCTTGTATGTAGGTGAATCCTCCAAAGTTTGAGAAGTGTGAGGATATGTCTAACCTGACCTACCTGAACGAGGCAAGTGTCTTGCATAACCTGAAAGCAAGATATCAGGCTCAACTTATATATGTAAGTTTTAATTCAACAATATTTAAACAAAATGTCAGTTCACGCACTGATTGATAGAAATTTTCTCTATCTTCAGGCAAAATTAAAAATTGGTTTCTTGAAAAAAAATGAAACCCAGAACAGTAATTTTAAGGTGCAAGACAGTCAACATTTTCCTTTTAACCTTTATTTTCTGTCGATACAGAAAAATTTACTGTTCACTAGAAGATAAACACCTTATTTTGCTAAGACCTACTCTGGGTTGTTCTGTGTCGCCATCAACCCCTACAAGAGGTTGCCCATCTACACCAACACCACCGTCAAGCTCTACTTGGGCAAGAGGAGGACTGAGGTAGGGCAGGGGGTGAACCGTGGGGGGCGGGGGGTTAAAGAGGGTTAGGGTACTTGACGGGGGGGGGGTGGTAAATGTAAGTGTACAGATTTGCCTTTCCATAGCTCTCCCAAGTACAGAGTTGTACACTGTACAGCGTACACAAAGAGGCATAAAAAATTATTATTGTAAAATATTAATTAAGTAAAAAAAGGAATCAAATTGTCAAAAATTGGTTAAAAGTGAAAATATATTTTAAAATTATTGAACATTGTCAATATAAGAAAATACTTAAAGAAGAAACAACTTAATTATCAGAGTTTATTTTTTATTCGTCTTCCTTTCCCCGAATTTAACGGATCTTAATGTACATAATTTATACTTTTTAGGTTCCTCCTCATCTGTTTGCAATCTCTGATCTGGCCTATAGAAACATGCTGGACAGTAAGTAATTTTTATTTCTTTTTTTATAATCTTTTTATTGAAAAATATTTCTTAAAAATAGGAATAAATGGCAGTACATTTTTGATCAAAACACTTTTTAATATACAACTATATAAAGAGTCTTCTTTTCTCTATCTCTATATTCCTTTTTCTCGAGTCATATATTGGAAAAGGCTAAAATGAAAAATTAAAATATCTAAATAAAATTCAAAATAAAAAGTCCGTATGTTTAACTTCTCTGTATGTCAATATCTTTCTTCTACTTTAATGGATAAAAATTTAAAAATTTAAAATCTTAAATGAAAATATATGGTCGTTGTTTAATTTTTAATAAAAAACTAAATTTTTGTATAGATTAAATAAATACTTTTGTGAAAATTCTGTATGTTTACTTTTGTCTGCAGTACATGTTGAGTTTGTTTACAAAACAAGAAAACATCCTGAACACAACAACAGATGGTTAATTATTTTTCAGAGGGAGTCTGCCAATCCATCCTGGTCACGTGAGTGTTTAGACCTTCTTATAATATTATTTATCAGTTCATCTATTCATCTTTTTATCTATTCATCTATTCATCTATTCATCTATTCATCTATTCTTTCACCTATTCATCTATTCACCTATTCATCTTTTCATCTATTCATCTATTTACCTATTTACATATTCATCTATTTATCTGTTTCTCTTTTTATCTATTCATCTATTCATCTATTCATCTGTTCATCTATTCATCTATTTACATATTCACCTATTCATCTATTCATATATTCATCTATTTATCTATTTCTCTATTTATTATTCATGTATTTATCTATTCACCCATTCATCTAAGCGTAAGTTTATCTCTGAACCTATTAATCTATTTACCAATAGATCTATTATTTTATTTATCTATCAGCTGTTGTACAGCTGCAAACTACTAGAAGGATAAGAATAAATTTATGCGAAATCACGTGACCTCGTAATTCCTCTAGTTTGTATTTACATACATACTTATTCAGTTAAAAATAAGAAATTAAAATTTTTTGTTGTTTTCAATAGCTCTCAAATTACAACAGTTGAAATGGAAACATATAAGATTTTAATCTTAAGTAAAATTTACGTTTTAATTTGACGTGGTACGCTATAGAATCTTGTATGTATAATATATAAGAGAAAGCATGCATATATATCTGGAGTAACCTTTACAAATGTGAATCTCAGGGAATTTATGAAAAATTTTCTGGAATTCAAAACATATCTAATCTATCTGAAATCCTCAAGTTTTAACCCAAATATTTAAACCTTTTATCTTATTATATCCATAATTTACCATGCACAAACTAAGGGTCAACATACATAAACAATTAATCTTATGCTTTACTGTCGTGACTATAGACTAGAGATGGGCATAGTTTTTGTGATCGAGCGATTTTTTTTGTGATCGTTCAGAGAAATAAAAAGCAAACGAAATGGGTCATTCACGAGCAATGATGAAAGGATGAATGAATGAATGAATGAAAAAAGCGCCCATCACTACCAGTGACTCCCTTCAGAAGTATAAGTTGTGTAAGAGTATAAAATATTAATGTGAGGTTTGATAATCCTTCCTTCTCTATTGTATGGTTAGGGAACCATTTAAACCAATCTAAAGTAAACCCAGGGCTCCAACCAACCCTCTTATCTCATTATTCTCTTTGTCATTAAATTCGTGTTCTACAGAGTGTCCCAATAAACATGGGATTTGAGTGACGATTTTGATATCGTCTTTGTAAATGATTTTTTGATTTAGTGTGGTGCAGATGTTTTCATTTTGTTTGTTTCGTCTGCTAGAGTTAAGAGTATGTTTGTTTCGTCTGCTAGAGTTAAGAATGAGTTTGTTTCGTCTACTAGAGTTAAGAATGTGTTTGTTTCGTCTGCTAGAGTTAAGAATGTGTTTGTTTCGTCTGCTAGAGTTAAGAATGAGTTTGTTTCGTCTGCTAGAGTTAAGAGTATGTTTGTTTATGTTTTATGTTTGATTGCATACTGGTGAACTCAAGAAAATAATAGATTTACGTAAACAAGACACAGTTAAAGTTATTTCTCTTCATTGTTTATTTGGCAGAAATATTACAGAACATCATATCGACGTCTTTTACTGTATACAAATGATTTACTCTAGAAGACGTAACATGTTAAAACTATTTAAATTGGGTATTGCAATACTAATTCTCAACGTATTCATCTTTGCATAAAAATAATATATAAAAAGAAAATAATTTGAAAACAATAAAAAGTGTTGAATGCTGATATTGGAGATCAATTTCAATATTTACAATAGCTCTTTTATACGCTTGATTAGATATGATTGAACATTTGTAAGATTTCATTTTACTTTTGTTTTAAACTGCTTAAAATTGTTTAAAATTTTAAATGAAAATCATGTAAATATGTTATGAATCTATGGATTTATGTACACCTCAAACTAGTCAGTTCATCCAATCTATTATGCTCCGGCAGTATTCTTTTCTATGGGACTTTGATTAATCCCACCTTGATATTTCAATTCAAAACATTTTATCTATAGAATTGTAATAATCAACATTTTGTATTTATTCTATACACAGCGGGGAGTCTGGAGCTGGTAAAACTGAGAATACCAAGAAGGTTATCTCCTACTTTGCCATGGTGGGAGCTAGAGATGGTCCGAAGACCAGTAACAAGGTATACTTTGCTATGGTGGGAGCTAGAGATGGTCCTAAGACCAGTAACAAGGTAAAATTTGCTATGGTGGGAGCTAGAGATGGTCCTAAGACCAGTAACAAGGTATACTTTGCTATGGTGGGAGCTAGAGATGGTCCTAAGACCAGTAACAAGGTATACTTTGCTAAGGTGGGAGCTAGAGATGGTCCGAAGACCAGTAACAAGGTACACTTTGGCATGGTGGGAGCTAGAGATGGTCCGAAGACCAGTAACAAGGTATACTTTGCTATGGTGGGAGCTAGAGATGGTCCTAAGACCAGTAAAAAGGTAAAATTTGCTATGGTGGGAGCTAGAGATGGTCCTAAGACCAGTAACAAGGTAAACTTTGCTATGGTGGGAGATAGAGATGGTCCTAAGACCAGTAACAAGGTAAGCTTTGCTAAGATGGGAGCTAGAGAAGGTCCTGAGACAAGTAACAAGGTATACTTTGCTATGGTGGGAGCTAGAAAAGGTCCTAAGACCAGTAACAAGGTATACTTTGCTATGGTGGGAGCTAGAGAAGGTCCTATTACAAGAAACAAGGTATACTTTGCTATGGTGGGAGCTAGAGAAGGTCCTTAGACGATTAACAAGGTTTACTTTGATATGGTGGGAGCTAGAGAAGGTCCTAAGAGACAAGTAACAAGGTATAGTTTGAAGTTGCTATGGTGAGAGGTAAAGAAGGTTCTAAGACAAGTAAAAAGGTGTACTTTGCAGTTGCTATGGTGGTAGATATGGAAGGTTCTAAGATGAGTAACAAGGTTCAACTTTGCTGTGGTGGGAGCTAAAGAGAACCTTAATACAAGTAACAAGGCATGGATAGAATGATCCATTATAAACCTTGACAAAGATATTAATCTTTATCCCCTGTATCTAGGTTTCCTTAGAGGACCAGATCGTACAGACCAATCCTATTCTTGAATCCTTCGGAAACGCTAAGACTGCCAGAAATGACAACTCCTCAAGATTTGTAAGTGATAACATATTATCTACATATACATGGGAATAAGTTAAAATTAAAAGGAAATTATAAAGGAATTAAAGTTTTCCCGCAAACTTTGATTTTCTAATTCCTCTATTTTTGATATTCGATTTCGGAGATCTTTGATATTTAAAACTATTATTTATGTTATTATCAAATCAGAGAAATTTTCGCTATCAGGTTACATTGATTAGCAAATTTGAGCTTGCGACAAAAAGCATCAAGACAACCTTTGTATATTACACCATTGGCTGTTGACAGGAGTCACATAATCACATGATTTCTATGTTAGATGAAGATATTATGGATTTTATTTTAAAATATGTATAGGGTAAGTTTATCCGGATTCATTTCAACTCTAGCGGTAAACTGGCAGGGTGTGATATAGAAACCTATCTTCTGGAGAAAGCTAGGATCACATTTCAGCAGGTTTGTTGGGATCTTGATTATAAATGATGGGAGATTGAACTAAATTTCTGGAAAGGGTCAACAGGGTTACTTCGGAGTGAACTTTTTTGTGTAAACTCTTCTAAAACTGCAGGACAGTATTTCAGCAACACAACAAAACATTCTGAACTCTCACGTTTTTGTGGAAAACCATAATGTTGTTTGAAAAACTGACGAAACGATGTTTAAACATTCTGAAGAAGAAGGTCAATACGTCAGTATTTGCACGACTTTGTGACCTCGTAGTTCCTCTAGTATTGATTGTGAGCACGAGTATGAGAATAGTAAATTTATTTTATATAATATATAATTAGAAAATCTAAACATTTTTGCTCAAAATATAATACTACATATATTAGGAGGTAGAGAGATCCTACCATATCTTCTACCAAATATACATAATACTACATATATTAGGAGGTAGAGAGGTCCTACCATATCTTCTACCAAATGATGGAGCCCGCTGTTCCAGACTTGAAGAAGAAATGCTTTCTCTCCAATGATATCTATGACTATCACTTTGTCAGCATGGGGAAAACCAAGGTAAAAATCTGTTAAAAATAAATAACACATTCTTAGCATTTTAAGAGGACACTAACCAGCTATTTTTTATGTGGTTTAAACGTTAATTGAAACAAATCAAACAAATCAAGTTATTTTAAACAGGTTTTGTCAAATGAAGGATTACAATCAAAGAGAATAGAAAGATTAAAATATGTTAAGTTCAGTAATTTTAGATCGAAAAGTAAAGGATTAGTTTAAGTGCGTTGTCTCGATTCAGTTTCGTCTTTAACTGTTTTACTCCTCATGATTGTTAGATTTCACTCTTTTCCCCTGATTTGAATTTAAACCTAAAGATGCAACATAGTGAATTTTCGAGAAGATGAAAAATATATTAGAATATAATTCTGAACATTGTTTCTAAAATATGAAATTTATGAATTTATGAATTAATAACTCTGCATGTTTAAGTTACTTTACTAATATAAAATATAAAATGCTATCCATAATGTATAAAATGCTATCTATAATGTATGAAACGAAATTAAAGGAATTGTAGAAGTTTAAACGTAAACAAATGCTATCTATAATGTATGAAACGAAATTAAAGGAATTATAGAAGTTTAAACGTAAAAAATGCTATCTTTAATGTATAAAACGAAATTAATGGAATTGTAGGAGTTTAAACGTAAAATAAAATGCTGTATAATGTATAAAACGAAATTAAAGGAATTGTAGAAGTTTTAACGTAAAATAAAATGCTATGTATAATGTATAAAACGAAATTAAAGGAACTGTAGGATTTAAACATAAAATAAAATGCTATGTATAATGTATAAAACGAAATTAAAGGAATTGCAGAAGTTTAAACGTGAAATAAAATTATATCTAAAATGATATCTATAATGTATAAACCGAAATTAAAGGAATTGTAGGAGTTTAAACGTAAAAAATGCTATCCTTAATGTATAAAACGAAATTAATGGAGTTGTAGGAGTTTAAACGTGAAATAAAATGCTATCTATAATTTATAAAACGAAATTAAACGAAAAATAAAATACTATTTACAATATATAAAACGAAATTAAAGGAATTGTAGAAGTTTAAACGTGAAATAAAATAAAGGCTATCTATAATGTATAAAACGACATTAAAGGAATTGTAGGAGTTTAAACGTGAAATAAAATTATATCTATAATGTATAAAACGAAATTAAAGGAATTGTAGGAGTTTAACCGTATAATAACATGCTATCTATAATGTATAAAACGACATTAAAGGAATTGCAGGAGATTAAACGTATAATAACATGCTATCTATAATGTATAAAACGAAATTAAAGGAATTGTAGGAGTTTAAACGTATAATAAAATTACCCTCTATTTAAACAAGGGCATGTCTGATTTACAACGGTAGCCTTAAAAGATTTGTATTATAAATAACAAATAAGTTAACAATGTTTTTATCTTTTAAAATTTACCAGATTCAATTGTGGATTCTAACAAACAAACAACAATGGAGGAAATTGTCAAAAATGACACTTTTCCAGTTAGAAAACTATGTTAGTTGCATCAGTTTTGTTCAGACTAAGGTTTATAAAGTACCTCTGTGAATCGGATATGAGGGTATGACCCTCTTAAATTGTCACTTGAAATTTAATATTTGTTCAATGCAAAAAATAGTTTAAATGTTGAAATATTTGCTTGAAATCTCTAGGTCCCCTCTATCGATGATAACGAGGATCTGGAGTTTACCCACGAAGCATTCCGAATTCTATGTTTTGGCGAGGAGAATACTTACAACGTGTACAGGGCAACAGCTGCTGTTATGCATATGGGAGAACTGGTTAGTAGTAGGGATGGGCAGACATTTAAAACTTTTCTTATACTGTTTTCGTTTTAAAAAACAAAAGAAAAATAAACGATAGTTATAGAACTATCGGTTTAAATTAACAATATTTTTTTATCGTAAACAAGGAACTAACCCTTTAACAAATTTATGGTTTTATCACAAAAAGCTTTTTATCAAAATGTTATGTCTTGTCTTAAACAAAATCTAAAAAAAACTCATTTTGAATAAAACATCAAATCTCCTTTAGCAATGTTTTTTGATTAAAAAACAATTTTTTCAATTCTTTTTTCTCATTCATCGTCATTTCAATTAATCTAGCAATAGAGCTGTTCGCTTAGGTATATTTGTGTATTTGTATGTTAGCTATTATAGCTGGACAAACGGCTGGACCAAATGGGCTGACATTGTTTGAGGGAACCCATGGGGCGTAACATAGGCTAATAAAATCGAGCAAGTCAGCTAATTTTTCATAAAAAAGCATACAAATTAAAGAAATAAAGAAGTTAAATCTAAATAATTATTTAGAAGTTCAAGCAGAAAGGTCGTGAAGAACAGTGCGAACCGGATAATCCGGCTCAGGCTAAAAAGGTATTTTTAAGTTAATTACAAACTATTACAAAAAAGGTAAAAACATAACTCCAAACTATTTGTAAGATAAGAGCCTCATAGTAATACAAGACTGAACACCATGCATCCAGATCAAAAGTGCGGAAGAGAAGGCAGAGAATGACCTATCTGAAAAATTGGGTTTTTCTATTGTTTGCAAATGTTTGCAAACACAACCACTTCACTTAAAAAATTGATTTCAAAGCAATCATTCTGTTTTATAACAACGTACAGTTAAACCCTAAGTGAACCATACATCGAAGGAATTTATCAAATGTCGTCTTGATAATTTTTTTAATGGGTTTTATACTATTTTACGTAAATCTCAGTATATGCGAAAATAAATAAATAGCCATGAATATGTGGGAACAGTTTTAAAGAGCTCCATATAATCATTTAATTGAAAAACTAAATATCTGCAACATTCCACTATCAGAAAGTGAAGAATACGACATTTGATGAATTCTTTCGAACCAACGGGTTTTAAAATACACATTGCGTACATCCACAGGTTTATAGGTTTCACTGTATCTAAAAATCGGGATTATATGGCAAAGATGCAGCTTTTCTAAAAGAATGCCCTTGAACATTTTTCATTGCATCTTATGACACTCCTGACTGGTATTGAACCACGTAAAACTAACTACAACAAAGTAGAACTTCTTTGTATCGTAATTCAAGATGAAAACCCAACAAAATAGCGCGCACAATATTTAAGATATAACATAAAAATACTAAAATCAACATTTGTGTAAGTGGAAACAGGTTCTAAGGTTAATACTTTAACCACGTCCTCCAGTCCCCGTCCACGTCCTCTATTTAACCGTGGAACAGCTAAGACCAACAGACGCCAATACAGAATTATTACCAAATAAAAGAAGAATTGAATTTCAGAGATCACAAATCAACGAACTTTTTAAATCGCACTATTTTTTAAACAATTTGTCCAATGTCAATTTTGTAGGTAGCTGCGTTGCTTGGAATAGAGCCTGAGAGTATGATGAAAGCTTTCTGCAAACCTAAGATCAAGGTATTTATATCATTTAGAAAAATACGGAAATAACAGGGGCTGAATTTAATGAATTTGAGCTACGTCGATGAATTTCCAACTGTCGGTTCAATCTTTGCCACAAATTCTTTTTTTCACATCCCTAATATCGTACTCTTAGATATTTCTAACTTTGAATTCCATTAGATCAAATTATCTAAGATTGAAATAAAAAATGTTTGCAGTTAAGCGACCCTGAAAATACATTAAATTTAGTCCCAGGAATATCGTCTTCTTCTTCTTCTTCATTCAATAGTCAGATGTTGCCAAGGATTTTTATTGCAACATTTGCAAATTTTAAAAACCTTTCGCGAAATGAAAAAGAGCTTTAGTCTTTGCCCCATACTCAAATCTTTGCCACCTGGTGGTGTACACCTTTCATATTTCAAACTTCTATTTAATAACGGATCTTTTATTTGATGTAATAGAATTCACAGCTTAAAATATCTAGATCATACGATTCGACATTGGATTCGAAAGATTTAGAGATTTGAAAACTTGAGTTTTACACTATTTCTAGCAATATTTACAAATTACAATAATAGAATTGAAAGTAAGGGAAGGGAAGGGAGGAGAGGGGGGGTGAGGAGGGGATGGGAGGGGGGGAGAGAGTGAGGAGGGGATGGGAGGAGAGGAAGAGAGAGAGGAGGGGATGGGAAGGGGGGGGGGAAAGTGAGGAGGATCTAATCTCCAGTTCCAGAATATTAAATATGAAAGTTTTGAGACTGTGATGGTTCTAGGGTCCCCTAGAGATTATATATGGTTGAGGGACCTACAGATAGATTTCTTATTTTTTATAAAATTCAGGGTTTTCTTTATAAAGCGTAATTTCAAGTGACCTTCCTTGGAAAAATTCCATTGTCCGATTTACAACGGTACCAATAATGTTGAAGATATACTAGTTTTTCTAGGATTTAAAGCGTTTAATTCTGATCATTTCTGAACGTTTTATTGCAGTAAAAATACGCTAAAGTCACTTTTGTACGAATCACAATTGAAAATAACCAGTCTTCTAAATTATAAACATTAATATCTAATTCGTACTTGAACAGACAAAGCTTTTGAGGGTATCGTTGTTAGTCAAGCACTATCATCTTTGCTTGGAGACATCCTTGCTTGGAGGCATCCTTGCCTGGAGGCATCCTTTCCTGGGGGCATCCTTGCTTGGAGGCATCCTTGCTTGGAGGCATCCTTGACTGGACGCATCCTTGATTGGAGGCATCCTTACCTAGAGGCATCCTTGCCTGGATGCATCGTTGCCTGGATGCATCCTTGCCGGAGGCATCCTTGCCTGGAGGCATCCTTGCCTGGAGGCATCCTTGCCTGGAGACATCCTTCCCTGGAGGCATCCTTCCCTGGAGGCATCCTTGCCTGGAGGCATCCTTGGCTGGAGGCATCCTTGGCTGGAGGCATCCTTGGCTGGAGGCATCCTTGCCTGGAGGGTCACTTGAAATTACACATAAAGTCTCTTTAGTCATAAGTTTGGGTCTGCAATTTATAGAATTAAATAAATAAATAAATAGATCATCATTGTCTCCCCTTTAGAATTATATTTTTATGAAATTATACAAAAGTTTTACTTCATTTTTTCTATGTACCTATTATTTCCTGCAGCAATACACGTTTCTTTCTCTTTGCTATATAATCTTATATGAAATATAGCACTGATGACTGCTTAATGTTTAATATAACATTGAGAACTGTTTAAGGTTTATTATAGCATTGAGAACTGTTTAAGGTTTAATATAACATTGAGAACTGTTTAAGGTTTATTATAACATTGAGAACTGTTTAAGGTTTATTATAGCATTGAGAACTGTTTAAGGTTTAATATAGCATTGAGAACTGTTTAAGGTTTAATATAACATTGAGAACTGTTTAAGGTTTATTATAACATTGAGAACTGTTTAAGGTTTAATATAGCATTGAGAACTGTTTAAGGTTTAATATAACGTTGAGAACTGTTTAAGGTTTATTATAGCATTGAGAACTGTTTAAGGTTTATTATAGCATTGAGAACTGGTTTAATATAGCACAGAGAACTGTTTAAGGCAAAGTTCAGGGGTTGGTAGTTGTCTATACCTGCCAGATTTAGCTGGACTGTACACTTACAACTGTTTACTAACGAATGACATTAGAATACTCTTTCAACCTTCAGATTGTTATATTTTAAGAGTTTCAGGTCGTCATTCAGTCTCATAATTTTTAGGTAAACCTGTATATTTTGTAATGTAGGTTGGAACTGAATGGGTGACGAAGGGTCAGAATATCGACCAGTCCTACCACTCCGTCGCTGGTATCGCCAGGGGCCTCTACGAGAGGGTCTTCAAGTATGTAAATAGTAAATACTTATTTTTTTAAAACAAAATACACCTTGTATATCAATCAATTAAAATGATAAAATATATCTGAAGAGATAAATTAATCTTTTTATTTATATTTATTGTCAGAAGTCAGAACCTTTATGTTTGTCAGCATGGATTACATTGATTTAGAGATCAAGCATTGATCCTCATATTTGAAAGTGCCCAGATTTGAGAAGACGACATCTAGTGTCAATCTGTTTTTTAAATTAATCTGTGAATCAACCACTAAATCTGATAAAATACATCAATTATTCTGATAAAATAAAAAAACCTGAATAATCTATCATTATAAATCCACTGACTAAATAAATATAAAATCCTGATAAAATCACTGAATAAATAAATCTGCTGAAACCAGTTCTGTTCAGTTTCCTTGTGGAGAAGTGTAATGAGACTCTTGTGGATGATACAATGAAGAAAGTAGTTTTTATCGGAGTTCTGGATATTGCTGGCTTTGAAATATTTGAGGTAAATCTAAAGAAATTTTCGCAAATCAACAAAATAGTAAAAAACAATAATATGATTAAAAATTACTTCTATTTAATTAATTTCTATTATATGGTTTATTCACTGCAAAAGTTTCAATTTGTGATATTTGGGCTTGAATAGTGATAATCTGAATCTGAAGGAATAAAATAATATTTTGCCAAAATTGTTCAGTTTATTCTGTTTCTAAAATCAATTACAAAATATATAAGTAAAAAGTCTATTTTTAGCTATTTCTTTAAATCTTTAAATCTTTTTATTTGATTTTTGTGAGGTTTTCTTAAAATTGAGAAAACTTCCAACTTTGATTAATTATTTATACTTTTCTATCACTGAAATTGCCTTTACTCCTTACAGGATTTCACAGTAAATATTATTTCTATTTCCAGTTCAACGGATTTGAGCAACTTTGCATAAACTTCTGTAATGAGAAGCTACAGCAATTCTTCAATCATCATATGTTCGTCCTGGAACAGGAGGAGTATCTCAAGGTAGGTCTAGGAATGGTCTAGAAGGTAAAGAGAAGTATATCAAGGTAGGTCTAGGAGTAGGAGTAGTATATCAGGGTAAGTATAGGAGTAGGAGTAGTATATCAGGGTAGGTCTAGGAGTAAGAAGAGTATATCAAGGTAGGTCAGGAGTAAGAGGAGTATCTCAAGTTAGATCTTGGACTAGGAGAAGTATCTAATAGTAGGACTAGGAGTAGGAGAAGTATATCTTTAGATATGTCTTGGAGTAGGAGAAGTATATCAAGGTAGGTCTAGGAATAGGAGAAGTATATCAAGGTAGGTCTAGGAGTAGGAGAAGTATCTGCAGGTAGATCTAGGAATAGAAGTAATATATCAAGGTAGGTCTAGGAGTAGGAGTAGTATCTCATAGTAGGACTAGGAGTAGGAGAAGTATCACATAGTAGGTCTAGGAGGGGGAGGAGTATCTCAAGGTAGGTCTAGGAGTAGGAGGAGTATCTCAAGGTAGGTCTATGAGTAGGTGAAGTTTATCAATGTAGGTCTAGGAGTAAGAAGAGTATATCAAGGTAAGTTTAGGAGTAGGAGTAGTATATTAAGGTAGGCTTAGGAGTAGGAGTAGTATATCAAGGTAGGTCTAGGAGTAAGAGAAGTATATCAAGTTAGGTCTAGGAGTAGGAGGGGTGTATCAAGGTAGGTCTAGAAGTAGGAGGGGTATATTAAGGTAGGTCTAGGAGTAGAAGGACTAAATCAAGTTAGGTCTAGGTGTAGGAGAAGTATCTCAATGTAGGTCTAGGAGTAGGAAAAGTATCTCAAGGGAGGTCTAGGAATAGGAGAAGTATATCAAGGTAGGTCTAGGAGTAGGAGAAGTATCTGAAGATAGATCTAGGAATAGAAGTAATATATCAAGGTAGGTCTAGGATTAGGAGAAACATGTCAAGGTATGTCTAGGAGTAGGAGTAGTATCTCAAAGTAGGACTGGGAGTATGGGAAGTATCTCAAGGAAGGTCTAGAAGTAGGATTAGTATTTCAAGGTAGATCTAGGAGTAGGAGAAGTATCTCAAGGTAGGTCTAGGAGTAGGAGTAATATCTCATAGCAGGTCTAGGAGTAGGAGAAGTTTCTCAAGGTAGGTCTACGAGTAGGAGTAGTGTCTCATAGTAGGACTAGGAGTAGGGGAAGTATCTCGAGGTAGGTCTAGGAGTAGTAGAAGTATCTCAAGGAGTAGGAGTAGTATCTCATAGCAGGTCTAGGAGTAGGAGAAGTATCTCAAGATAGGTCTACGAGTAGGAGTAGTGTGTCATAGTAGGACTAGGAGTAGGGGAAGTATCTCGAGGTAGGTCTAGGAGTAGTAGAATTATCTCAAGGGAGGTCTAGGAATAGGACGAGTATCTCAAGATGGGTCTAGGAGTAGGAGGAGTAAATCAAGGTAGGTCTAGGATTAGGAGAAGCTTCTCAAGGTAGGTCTAGGAGTAGGAGCAGTATCTCATAGTAGGACTAGGAGTATGGGAAGTATCTCAAGGTAGGTCTAGGAGTAGAAGGCGTACATCAAGGTAGGACTAGGAGTAGAAGGTGTACATGAAGGTAGGTCTAGGAGTAGGAGAAGTATCTCAAGGCAGGTCTAGGAGTAGGAAAAGTTCTCTTGGTTTCTTCACAACTGCATCTCCTAAATCTCTTGTAACTAATGCAGTCATTCTTGTATCCCCTGTATCCACTGTATCTCCTGTAATTCCTGTATCTCATGAATATCCTGTATCTCATGAATATCCTGTATCTCCTGTATCCCCTGTATCTCCTGTATCTCCTGTATCTCATGAATATCCTGTATATCATGAATATCCTGTATCTCATGAATATCCTGTATCTCATGAATATCCTGTATCCTCATGAATATCCTGTATCTCCTGTATCTCCTGTAATATCCTGTATCTCCTGTATCCCCTGTATCTCCTGTATCTCCTGTATCTCATGAATATCCTGTATCTCATGAATATCCTGTATCTCCTGTATCCACTGTAACTCCCATATCCCATGTATCTCCTGTATCCCTGGTTCTCTTGTATCTCCTGTATCTCCTGTATCCTCTTTATCCCCTGTATCCACTGTTTCTCCAGTATCCCTTGTATCCCCTGTATCCCCTGTATCCCCTGTATCCCTGGTTCTCTTGTATCTCCTGTATCTCCAGTATCTCCTGTATCCTCTTTATCCCCTGTATCCACTGTTTCTCCAGTATCCCTTGTATCCCCTGTATCCCCTGTATCTCCTGTATCTCCTGGAATGAATGAATAATCTCTGTGAAACGGAAATCATAGTTTGAAAGTCAATATTTGCTTAGGAAGGGATAGACTGGGAAATGGTAGACTTTGGAATGGATCTTCAGTCTTGCATCACCATGTTCGAGAAACCTCTAGGTAATATTCATACTTTAGTCCACGGGTGCCAAGTATTGATTAAACAATTTTTACTAAATGTATTATTCAAAGGGACTGTTATATCATAATTTTACATAGTCCTTTAATTCAAATTAGAAATTGAATTTTTGTTTGACAGGTGATAATTATATCTCTGTCTTTGTCCAAAGTATTTCAAATTATGGCATGAAGATAATATTTCTCTTTCATGATAAAAAATTTTTTTGTAAGAAAAGAAAGAAAACCCTCCATCATGTTATTTTTAGGTATCCTTTCTATTCTTGAAGAAGAATCTCTGTTTCCTAAAGCAACTGATAAGACCTTCGAGGATAAGCTGAAAGCAAACCATCTTGGGAAATCACCAAACTTTGTGAAAGCAATCACGAAGCATGATAAGAATGCACATTTTGCTATAGGTACTAAATTTAATCCATAATAAGATATTTGGCTTTATCTTTATTTTATAGTTCACTATGCTGGTACGGTGTCCTATAATGTGACTAGCTGGCTGGAAAAGAACAAGGATCCTCTCAACGACACTGTGATCGAGCTCCTGAAGTCCGGAGAGAATAAACTTATCAATCATGTGTTCCGAGATCATCCAGGACAGGGTAGGGAGGAGGACGGAGATCAGAAGGGGAAAAAGAAGAAGGGTGGTGGTGCCAAAACTGTATCAACCTTCTACACCAAGCAGTTGAACTCTCTGATGACTACGCTTCATGCCACGGAGCCTCATTTTATTCGTTGCATTATTCCTAACACTCACAAGCAGCCGGGGCAGATAGAACCTGCACTTGTTCTTCACCAGCTTACTTGCAATGGTGTCCTTGAAGGGATCAGGATTTGTATGAGAGGATTTCCCAACAGAATGCCATATCCCGAGTTTATCTTCAGGTATGGTATTCTCCAGAACGGGAAGCCAAACTCATCAGATGAAAAGGTTCAAGCTGCTGCCATTTGCACAGAGATGTTGAACAAGGAGAAGTATCGAATTGGAATGTGTAAGATTTTCTTCCGTGCAGGAGTTTTGGGTTATCTGGAGGAGGTTAGAGATGAGAAGGTGACAAGAATGATTCGATATATGCAAGGTTACTGTTATGGCATTCTCCGCAGAAGGGATTTTCTGAAGAGGAAGCAACAAAGAGATCTGCTGGTGGTTATTCAAAAGCTTTTCAGGAGATACCTTACTCTGCGTCATTGGGGTTGGTTTTCCATTATTCAAAAAACAAAGCCTTTAATTGGTATGCTGAACATTGAAGAAGAGATCAACATACTCGAGGAGGCTGCAACAAAAGCTGTAGATGAAGTCCAGTTTGAAGCAACAGAGAAAAAGAGATTAGAGAGTGCCAACACCAGGTTAATGGAGGAAAAAATGGCTCTTCTGAAAAGGATTGAGATAGAGCAAGGGGACATTATATCCCTACAGGAACGCCAAGCCAAGGCTGCTGCCCAGAAGGCAGACCTAGAAAATCAACTAGATGAAATGTCTGAAAAAATTAAGGCAGAAGAGAACAGGAAAGAAGAGTTGATTAAAGAAAAGAGAGCCATCGAAGCAGATGTTAGCAATGTCCGTGGAGATCTTTCTGATCTTGAAGTTCATGTTCAAAAAGCTGAACAGGAACGGGCAAATAAAGATCATCAACTTAGAAGCCTTAATGATGATATTGCAAGCAAGGACGAGCTCATCAGCAAACTCAACAAGGAGAAGAAACATTTCCTGGAGATCAACGGCAAAGCAGTTGAAGAGCTGCAGAATGCTGATGAAAAGGTGTCTCACCTCACCATGGTGAAGAACAAGCTTGAGCAAACATTAGATGATCTTGAAGATAACTTAGAAAGGGAGAGACGCAAGAGGAATGAGGAGGAAAAGCAAAGAAGGAAGATAGAAGGAGATGTCAAGTTAACTCAAGAAGCAATCATTGAGTTGGAAAAGGGCAAGAAAGAGTTAGACCAGTGTTTGGCCAGGAAGGAGAGAGATATTGCAGAGTTGACCGGCAAGCTTAGTGAAGAACAATCTGGAGTTAGTAAGCTTACTAAAGTTATCAAGGAAACTCAGGTAATAGAAAAATCAGAAATTGCAAAAGTTGATTTGTTGTTAAACCATTTTCTCTTCAGGCAAGAGTCGAAGAAATGGAAGAAGAGCTGGAAGCAGAACGTCAAGCAAGAGGGAAAGCTGAAAGGCAAAGATCTGAACTTGCCAGGTATAAAGTATACACATGGACTCTAATCCTAATTGGCTACAGTGGTAACCAGTAAACTTTGGAATATTAAGACGACTTTTAGACTCAAGTTATGACTTTAAATAGTCCAATTAGCATGCGACACAGCAATAATGCAGTGTAAACAGAACCATTTCACTTAATAATTGATTTTATAAATGTCTTGCAAAACTATTTGCTGTGAAGCAATATAAATACACTTATTGCTATAAAGTCGTCTTCCTATTTCAGAGTATAAGTAACAGTGTACACAGTACATACATGTACTTTAGTCTTTATTATCTCTATATCTTTATACACCTACTTGTATTCCTTCCTGTACTATGAACATCTATCTCTTAACGGGACTGTCATTGTAAAATCATGTGTCCTTCCATTTTATACAGAGTGTCCCAATAAACATGGGAATTCAGTGACAAATTCGATATCGTCTTTTAAGATAATTCTTTAATTTAGTATAGTGATACCTACTGAGAAAGCTGTAATCTGTAAGAATTTCGTCTGCTATGTTCACATTTTGTTTGTTTATGTTTTGACTGCATACGGTTGTACTTAGTAAAACAAGAAAATTGCAGTACACAAACAGAGTAAACTTGTTCGTCTTCACTGTTCATCTTGCGGAGACATTATAGACACATCTTTACAGTATTTTACCCTTTTCATAAATAAACTCTAGCAGACATAATAATATTATGGCTTTTGAAATTTGGTATTACAGTGCTAATTCATAACAAAGACGATATCCAATTCGTCACTGAATTCCCATGTTTTTTGGGACACCCTGTAGTTTGAAAAAGTGTTTAATTCTGATAATTTCCTCCTATTGTATCTTACACAATTTTAGCAATGTACCTTGAGAGTTAAGTTAGATCATTATATTCATCCTTGATCAGACAAATATTATAAGGCTTTGGTTGTGAATCGAACATGCAAATCTAGGAAAGTCACTTGAAATTACGAATACAGTCCCTTTATACTGTTTACTAAAATACTCTTAATGATACTTGCACTGGTACATATACTCCTAAATATATGTGGCTTATACAGTACTGCTCCTTATTTTAAAAATTCTTTGTCGTATATATCAATACAATGAAGACGACCGTCGATTTCAATTTTTGATCACAACCAAGCTTTCAAACAGCATGGGATTTACATAGAACATAAGAACAAATAGAATCTGTCAATTGACAATTAACATGTACCAACTGTTCTCCTTTCTCAACTTTAACACCAACTGTACCACATGTACTCCAAAGTACTTTAATTTGATTTAAAATTCAGTGATTGTGATGGACCAAACCTCTGTAGAGTAAAAAAGTAGATGTTAGTTCCACATTTATTGAAAATATATTTCGGTCTGGGTTGACCCTCGTCAGTTCTAACGATATAATAACCATCAAAATCGATAAAAAAAAATAAAAAAAATGTAAAAATCACAAGAATATGAACAAACAAAAAGATTATTCAAATTAAAAATTTGGGCTGTCAAATGGACATAAGGGAAAAGAACTCAGATTATGAGATGGAAAAAAGATAATTTGCAAATATTCACTTTCTAAAAAAATGTTTTTAGACAATTATTATTCCTTGAGATTGTTTCTTCACAAAGATTAAAAACAAACTGTGTAGATGTGTGAATATTGAGTTGGGGTGGGGGTCGATCTAATTAACGAACTTTTCCGTGAGTCGGGGGAGGGGGCGGGGGGGGGAACGGCTTGTTTAAGGAGGGGTATTTAAAACCTTTTAAAGAATTACCACCTGAACTCATATATGTACGTTAACCTATAGTGTGTACTGTAACCTGTACCACCTGAACTCATATATATACTTTAACCTGTACCATCTGAACTCATATATGCACTTTAAGCTGTACTCCCTTAACTCATACATGCACTTTAACCTGTACCGCCTGAATTCATATATGTACTTTAATCTGTACCCTCTGAACTCATATATGTACTTTAATCTGTACCCTCTGAACCCTAGAGAAATGGAAGAGTTAACTGAAAGGATAGAAGAGGCTGGTGGTGCTACTCAAGCTCAGATGGAACTTAATAAAAAAAGGGAAGCAGAGGTTAAATTATTATTTAATTCCATTCACCATTCTTTAAAAGGATTGTTCTATTTTTTCTAATACGCATTTTACTCTTAATTTTGAAATTCTTTAAAAAACTAAACCTACAGAGTTGATTCAAATTATCTAAGGGAACGAACAAAGTAAAGTTTTCTAACCAATTTTTTAAGAAGATCCTGGCCTATGCAGACTATTAAAGTGTATAGTAAAGGTATCTTATGAAGGGGAAGGTCTCAAATGATTGGGGGAGGTTCCTATGAAAGAGGGAGGTCTCCTATGAAAAAGTTGAAGGGTCTCCTATGGAACAGCATTAATGATGTTATATCTAAGGTTGTCCGAATGAGAAAAGACTTGGAAGAAATCAATATTCAGCATGAAGCAACTATTTTCAGGTAAATCAGTAACAGGAAAACCTTGAAGGCTTGAAGGCTTGAAGGCTTGAAGGCTTGAAGGCTTGAAGGCTTGAAGGCTTGAAGGCTTGAAGGGTTGAAGGGTTGAAGGGTTGAAGGGTTGAAGGGTTGAAGGGTTGAAGGCTTGAAGGGTTGAAGGCTTGAAGGCTTGAAGGGTTGAAGGGTTGAAGGGTTGAAGGGTTGAAGGGTTGAAGGGTTGAAGGCTTGAAGGCTTGAAGGCTTGAAGGCTTGAAGGCTTGAAGGCTTGAAGGGTTGAAGGGTTGAAGGCTTGAAGGCTTGAAGGCTTAAAGGCTAGAAGGGTTGAAGGCTTGAAGGGGGAAATGCAAAAGAATTTTTTGAAAATTGTTCTACTTTAAAAAGTTTTTTGCATGCTATAGTATTTTAGTCATTATAATAAATGGTGTACATTTAAGGTGTACTTTGCTTGTCTGTCTGTCTGTTGAATTTTTGAAATTTTTTATGAAATCTGCGAATTTTTCTTTGTTTTTTTTACAATGTACACAATGTTCACAATTGAAATAAAAGATGGGCGCCTTCAAATCCTAGTGTTTATATATGGTACATCAGAAATATTTCAGCTTGAAGAAAAAACATCAGGACGCAATCGGTGAAATGTCGGAGCAAATCGAACAGCTGAACAAACTCAGAGCAAAGTAAGTAAATTTAATATTTTGAGTTTTAGAACTTTTTTAACAGAATTCAAAGACAATTTGTAATATCTTTTATAATAATCATAAAAACAAATTAAGAAGATATCTGGACAAAAAAATGAAAAAAGATAATTTACTGCAGTGGTAGGCGATTATATCAAAACTATGAAGACGGCTTTTTTATTTAGGTTTTGATTGTTAAAATTTTTTTTTTCGAATTACAAGTTAACAAGTAATCAAAGATAAGCTTTATTAATTGACTACTTCTCTTGACTTCTATGTTTTTGTGTATCCATGCTGTTTAACAGCTAAATATAAATCAAAATTGAAATCGAAAGTCGTCTTAATTGTATTAATATAATCGCCTACCACTGTATGAAGAAAAACAAGATTGTTAGACTTAAGAAATAACAAGGATTAAAACAAAAAGAGAAATTTTCTTTAAAAAACGTTATATGTTTAAACAAAAAAAACATGATGCTTAATTGAAAATGGAAATTGTTGAAATAAAGACAACAACAAAATTCTAAGCGTAATAGCAAATGTAAAATGATTTTTAATAAATTATAGTAAGAAAATTAAGCCAGGATTACTTTTATGTCGTCTTCTTATTCCGCAGCTTTCTAAACCATTGCACTTTTGAGTTTAAAATATATTAAAGGGAGGGGGGAGGGCAAAGCATTAACCTCCCCGAGTCCGTGGCCATTTTTCCAAATCCTTAGCACATTTTTTGAAAATATAAAAATGTCATTAAAAAATGTAAACCAATTTTGTTATCGTTGTTAGAGTTGAGAAGGATAACTCGAATATTAAACATGAGATAGACGACCTTAAAGTTATCTCTGATGAAGTGATCAGAGCTAAGGTAAATGCAATTTTCACCGTCCTTCACAGAATCAAATAAGTTGGAAGGACGCTGAGAATGTCGTCGTTGCAGGACATGTTTTTTCCCTCTGCTTTACCAATGTTCTCTTGTACATAAAACATATATGTACATTATTTTGGTAGACATTTTTTCACCATTTATTTTTTAAATTGTGTATTTTTGAATGAGTAGACTGGAACTAGACTGTGGTGGTATAAAGTTAGAATATTCAGACTTGACAATTTTCCTCGATAATTTAGCAAAGGATAAGGTAAAAATCCAACCGTTAACATTTTTGGATTAAATTTACTTATTAGAATTATTTTAAAAAATGATTTTGCATGCTTTTTTGTATTTATTTGAAAACATACATTTCATATATTTGACTGATATTTAAGGATTAAAAAAAAACTTTTTGGTTTTTGTGCTGTTCACTTAAACTGTACGTTGTACAGCGACTTTTAACTTTTCAGCGTGCGGTATTCTTTGAACGAAGATTTGGAGTTAATTAAATGATTAATGATTAACAACATTGGATCTGAATTGTACAAAATCTCTATACAGGTTGTTCCAATAAACATGGGAATTAAGTGATAATTTTGATATTGTCTTTTTAAATATTTCTTTGATTTATGTACAGTATAGTATAGTGATTTATGTACAGTATAGTGATACCTACTGAGAAAGGTTAATCCGTAAGCTTTTCGTCTGCTATGTTTCATATTTCATATTTTATATTTTTATTCAACTACAAAGCATGAGATATTACAAAAAAGCACTCTTCAGTCTTTACCCACAGTCTGAACAGCAAGACTAATCAAAACCCAACAAAATTTCTCGAAACTGTGTGATTCTTGTTTAAAGCTTGCATGAATGCTTGAATGTAAACATAAACCTAGGGACCCTGTATAAATGTATCCAAGGAGTTCAAGAAATTGAACAGATATCAAGATAGTTTATTTATTTATCAGGCAGCTGGAGAAAAAGCAGGGAAAACTCTCTCAACCCAGCTCTCAGACCTGAACAAGAAAATTTCGGAAGTTAATCTACAGGCGAAATTTTTTTTTATTTATGATTTCAATATTATGACTGTTTTAAAGTAATATTTGATGTTATAAATTGAGTAGGTCAATGATATGGAGTTAGGCAATAGAAAATCCGCCAGTGAGAACTCTGAACTAATGCGCCAGCTAGATGACGTGGACAGCAACCTTTCAATGCTCCATAAGATCAGGCATCAGCTGAACAATGAACTGGAGCAGGTCAAGAAGATGTATGATGAGGAGTCCAAGGAAAGGCAGTCGACCTTAGGTAGGTTCCGTAACCTAAAGCATGAGTTTGATGGTCTGGCAGCAGTCTATGAAGAAGAGGTTACGGCAAAGGAAAACTTCCATCGTCAATGCCAAAAAGCAGAAGAAGAAACAAATCTCTGGCGATTAAAGTATGAAAAGGATGGAATTGCAAAGATAGAAGAGCTGGAGAATACAAAGATGAAACTACAAGCAAGACTGGCGGAATGTGAAGGAACAGTGGAAAATCTTAATACAAAGCTTGTTCAACTTGAGAAGAGTAAAAACCAGCTTCAGGAGAATATTGAGGATATTACTGCCAAGGTTGATCAGGCAAACATCATTAATATTCAGATGGACAAGAAGTTGAAACAGTTTGACAAAGTGGTTCATGATTGGAAGATCAAGGCGGATAATATGAGCCAAGAGCTTGAATATTCCCAACGGGATTGCAGGAATGTGTCCACTGAGCTGTTCCGAGTAAAGAATGGATATGAAGAATGCATGGGCCAACTTGATGAGGTCAAGAGGGAGAATAAAATGCTTAGTGATGACATCAGGGATATTATGGAGCAGATAAGTGAGGGTGGAAGGTCAATTCATGAAATTGAAAAGCAGAGGAAGCGACTTGAGACTGAAAAACAAGAGCTTCAGGCAGCTCTTGAAGAAGCTGAAGCTACTCTTGAGCAAGAAGAGAACAAGAATGCACGTCTTCAGCTGGAGATTGACCAGGTCAAGAATGACATTGAGAAGAGGCTCCAGGAGAAGGAAGAAGAATTTGAGATAACAAAGAAAAACCATCACAGGATGACAGAGCAAATTCAAGAAACTTTGGAGGATGAAAGCAAAGCTAAAGCTGAGCTAATGCGATGCCGCAAGAAGCTTGAGGCTGATGTAAGTGAACTTGAAGGTGCTCTAGAGCAAGCAAATCATGTTCATGAAGAAAACCAGCGAAATATTCGGAGATATCAAGATCTTATCCAGAAAGCAAATATCAATCTTGAAGAGGAACAACAAGCCAAAGATTTGGCGCGTGAAAATCATGTCAACATGGACCGAAGAGCTCATTCCCTACAGAATGCCCTGGAAGAGGCAAGAACCATTCTCGATCAAACTGACCGGGCACGAAGGTATGTAATTATGCATAATAATTTTTTTCCTTGTGAATACCCTCCATTTTGTTTTAGATCAGCAGAACAGGAGGTGGGAGAATGCCATGAGCAGCTGAGTGATCTGAGCATGCAGAACCAGTCCCTAGCTGGTGCGCGAAGGAAACTGGAACAGGAGGCAGAAAACCTTCGTCAGGATTGTGATGATATGAAAGGTAATAATAATAACATGTCCAGCTTGGACTCACATACTTCCTAAAGATAAGAGTTTGATGACAACCTGAAACTTTTAAAATGTAATAATCTGAAGATTGATTTTGGCGTTTTGCAATAAATATAGTCTGTTAACTTTTTTAAAATAGATTGAAAAACAAAATAACAAATCCAACCGATGTTTCTGCATTAGGTGAGGCAAGATCCTGTGAAGAAAGAGCTAGAAATGCAATGATTGACGCGGCAAAGCTTGCTGAAGAGTTGAGAGTCGAACAAGAGCATACAGCTCATGCTGAACAAGCAAGAAAGATGGCTGATGCGCTTATTAAAGAACTTCAAATGAAGGTAATATAATATGGATAGCTTTAGCTTGTCTGTTCTTTTCAAATTGATTCTAGTACAATAGATGACAACGTAGAATTTGTTCACTCTTAGTGCAGCTGTATTCTGACGACACAAATGGCAATTTAGTCGTTGTATCCGACCAAAATATTAATAATAGTGATGATTTTAGAATAAAGTGCTTATCTTACAGTAAAATTGCAATTTTATTGGTTCTCGCAAAAAAATTTGTTTTATGGTGTATAAGAAGAAAACTTGAAAAAAAACAGTTAAAATTGTTACTCTAATTTATTTCGTTGCTTAAAATATTTGTACAATAAACTTTTTTAATGTGCACACATTGTAAAAGTTTGAATTTAGATTGATGATGTTGAAGTGAGCTCCATGAAACAAGGTAAGAAGGTTTGCAGTAAACTAGAATCCCGGATAAAGGAACTGGAATCAGAACTAGACGCAGAACAAAGACGACTTGGAGATAATTCAAAGAACTTGAAGAAGGGGGAGAGAAGAATCAAAGAAATCGAATTTCAGGTTTGCTATTTTTAAGAAAAAATACCTGAAAATTGTAACTAATTTAAGGGATTGTCGACGTAGTTTTGGGTGACTCCTCTTTTTATGCCTGATTCACAACGTGACCATTCCATTTATCTTAAAAATAGATTCATTCAAGTCAGTTTCCTCCCCGCTAAATAATTCCACAACTCACTTTTCAATCAAAAGAAGGAACAATTCTAAGATGTTCAAAAAATATGTCCATATTTTTTTTCAGACAAAGATTGATTATGCATGTATAATTCTATAAATGAAGGGTCACTTGAAATTACTTAAAGGGACTGTAAACGTTCTTTCAAGTGACCTTTCATCCAAGGATGGAAAAGTTTGATTCACAGCGGTACTCTTGGGTGCTGTGAATGCATGGTCATTTGAAATTACGCTTACAGTCCCTTTAAAGCAATGCTTTATTTCGGAGCAACATTAATGGAATATTTTATTTGATGTTCTTCAAAAATATGTTTAGAGTGAAGAGGAGAGGAAACAGGCTGGTCAGATGCAGGAATTAGTTGACCGGCTTCAAAACAAGCTTAGGGCATTCAAGCGCCAGATAGAGGAGGCTGAGGAAATTGCCGCGCTAAACCTCGCTAAATACAGGAAAACACAGGTAAACAACAATAACAACAATAACAACAACAACAATAATCAGAACAACAACGGCAAAAACAAGAACAATAAAAACAACAACAGCAACCACAACAACAACAACAAATAAAAATAATAAAGTATAACAATAACACAAACACAACATCTACAATGATAAAACTAATAATAAGAGCAAATTCATTGGCAAATATATATTTAATTTGAAATTAAATTGAAATTATTTACTTAATTTTCCAAAATGTGACCCACCCTTTCTCTTATATATAGGGTGTCCCATTAATCATGCCAGTAGCAACTGAAAAGACGTCGTCTTTGATCTATGAATTTGATTTTAACATTCAGTCGTTAACCTACTTTAACATGAATTCAGTCGTCACCTACTTTAACATGAATTCAGTCGTCAACCTACTTTAACATGCTTTCAGTCGTCAACCTACTTTAATATGAATTCAGTCGTCAACCTACTTTAACATGCATTCAGTCGTCAACCTACTTTAACATGAAATCAGTCGTCAACCTACTTTAACATGAATTCAGTCGTCAACCTACTTTAACATGCATTCAGTCGTCAACCTAATTTAACATGAATTCAGTCGTCAACCTACTTTAACATGCATTCAGTCGTCAACCTACTTTAACATGCATTCAGTCGTCAACCTTCTTTTAACATGCATTCGGTCGTCAACCTACTTTAACATGAATTCAGTCGTCAACCTACTTTAACATGAATTCAGTCGTCAACCTACTTTAACATGCATTCAGTCGTCAACCTACTAATTAGCATGATTTCAGTCGTCAACCTACTTTAACATAAGTTCAGTCGTCAACCTACTTTAACATGCATTCAGTCGTCAACCTACTTTAACACGCATTCAGTCGTTAACCTACTTTAACATGAATTCAGTCGTCAACCTACTTTAACATGCATGATTTCAGTCGTCAACCTACTTTAACATAAGTTCAGTCGTCAACCTACTTTAACATGCATTCAGTCGTCAACCTACTTTAACACGCATTCAGTCGTTAACCTACTTTAACATGAATTCAGTCGTCAACCTACTTTAACATGCATTCAGTCGTCAACCTACTTTAACATGCATTCAGTCGTTAACCTACTTTAACATGCATTCAGTCTTCAGCCTACTTTAACATGCCTTCAGTCGTCAGCCTACTTTAACATGCATTCAGTCGTCAACCTACTTTTACATGCATTCAGTCGTCAACCTACTTTAACATGCATTCAGTCGTCAACCTACTTTAACATGCATTATTCTTGAAACAATAATCATAAATTTCTCCTAGTCCTGGTAATTCCAAAATGTCGTCTGACTACTTTGAGCTGGCAGTTTCAAAAAATACCAATGCATTGAATTTTGTTTAAATGTTCTATTTCATTTGTATAATTAGTGTTTTTTTTTACATTTTTTATCATTACAACCCATTTCAGGGTGCCATTTCTGATTTTTGTAAAAATTCATTTTTAAAACATTCCAAGTAGAATACAAATTTTGCTTCTGTAAAATGATTTTGAAAAATGGAACTGAATTTCACACCCCTTCTATGGTTTTGGTGTGGTTGTAATGTTACTAAAATCTATAATGTGTTTTATGTAATTCTGAAATCATAGTAAACTTAATTTTCAAAATAGGAAAGAATCATATTCAATTACTTAATATAGATGGTTAAAACTTAAAAACTATTGGATTGATGAAAAGTAAAAGTTTCATGATTTATCAATGAAATAAAAATGTTTTTTCAAAGCACCTTACAGCTGGAAAACAGTAATAGTAGACTTTTAAGTTAGTCTCTAGAAAAGGGGGGGGGGTCAAAAATTACTCTTGACCCCCCTTTTTCAAAGGGAGGGGTCGACCCACTGACCAATGACCCCCCCCCCCCTCTCTGTATACGCGCCTGCGTGCATTACATTGTAACAATTTGTACTAGAATTTTTTTTTTTTTTAAAGATAGCAGAATGGAAAACCACTTAAAAATAGTTTTAAAATTTAAACTTAACCATGTACAGGGTGTCCCAAACAGCATGGACATTAACTGGCAACATTGATTAAAGACAATATTAAAGTCGTCACTTAATTTACATGATTTATGGAACACCCTGTATCTCAGGGAGATGCTGAGGAAGCTGAAGAAAGAGCTACCCTGACTGAACAAGCTGCTGCTAAACTCAAATCTGCTGCTAGAGCCGGATACTAAATCTGCTGATCCTACAATGGTTCCCTAAATTAATGGAGTATGCAGACGACTTGGAATTTAGAACCTTCAGCGTATTTAATGCAATTAAGGCGTAAATGTTTATGTAAAATAGTTGCAAACAAAATTTGCTGGAGCAGTGAACATTTCTCTTTAACTATTTTAAACAATACTTATTATAAAAAAGTCGTCTCTGTATTTTATATTATTTTGGAAACCACTGTAAACTAACCCCCCCCCCCCCATATCTGTAAACACATATTTGTAATGATTATTTATTGTTTCAAACATTCATTGTTTACACAATGTCGTCTTCTGTCTCTCGTTAGCCCAGTCGTCTTTTATGTAAGTGTGTACGCTATTGCTGAGTTTTAATTAAATTGCCTAATTGTTTAATAACAAAAAAATGAAAAGTGAATGTATGTTAAAATGTAAAAATGTAAAAATGTTTAATCAGGATTAAATCCTGCAAAATATCTATACCTTGCAAAGTATTATATTGTAGATAAACTAGATGAAAAGCACCATTGAATTATTTAGTGTCATGGCAGTTTTGTAAATTTATTATGTGTAATTTAAATATATGTTGCAAATCTATATTATTTTATCATAATGACAGTCAATCAATTAACATTAAAACTCACAATGATCCAAATGTTGCAAGCTCTCGTGAAAAAATCTATGATAATTTTCAAACAAAGAATTCATTAAATGTCGTATTCTTAACTTTCTGATAATGGAATGATGAAAATATTTAGTTTTTTAATTAAATGATTATATGGAGCTCTTTAAAACGGTTCCCGCATATTCATGGCTATTTATTTACTTTCGCAAATACAGAGATTTACGTAAAATAGTGTAAACCCATTGAAAAATTGTCAAGACGACATTTGATAAATTCTTTCGATGTATGGCTCATTTAGGGTATAACTGTAGTATTACCTTAAAAACTTGAGCTAAAAACAAGTGCTGTATAGTTGTAAAGCCTTATTGAGGTAACACGAAATGCCAAGGGAGTATGACTATTCAAAGTGAACCTGATCTTAAAATTCAATGCAACTTTTCAAACAGTCGTCGTCGCAAATAGCAATACAATCAAGACGACTTTCGATTTTTAATTTTAATTTTAATAAATCTTTTTAAACAGCCTGGGACCCTGGATACACATACACTTGGAAACAAAGAGAAGATGTCGCGAGTAAAAAAGATTCTCTTTAATTACTTATGAACTTGTATTTCGAACAAAGCTTGTGAACATCAAAACTTAAATAAAAACTCCCTGATCTTATACTGATTTAGTATAGTCACTTCTGTCCATGGACACCGGTTGGTAGGATTTTAAACCTGATTTGATTTGTATAGATATAACGGCCTACACATGAGTGTGGAACAAGGAAGTACATCCTGTATGTATCTTAAGGTTGTATAATAAGGTAGGTTACTAATTGATGCGCTCCAATTTACCAAAAATGTCGTCTCCTAAGATAGATTATAGATTATAAAAGCGAGAGAGACGTCATATTGGGTTTTATCTATCTTAGGAGACAACATTTTCCGTACATTTGAACGCAACAAGATTAACTAACCTTATAATACAACCTTGGTCTGTATTGACATATTTTCAGCTTCAGGTATAGTTTGATCTCTATAAATACATAATACTTCGAAAGAAACGTTACACTCTACAACTACAAGTTGCATGCTCCGCGCCGGTACAACATGTACTGTATAGCGTATATTGCAATCACTCGTACTGTCTAGGGCTGGGCGCGTTAACGGTGGAACGATCGTTCTTTCCCGAGAACGAACGGAACGATCAAGAACGATCCCATCGTTCCGAAAAAAAACGAACGCTTAGAACGCGTTCTTAAAAATATTGGAACGATTAGTAAAAGAACGGAACGGAACGGAACGGGAATTGCTTGAAAAGAACGGTAGGACCTTTTTATTAAAAAATTGTAATTTTTTTACTTTTTAACCAACTCTTTTCTATAAAACTTTTGTCTTTGATGTAATTGTTCGTTACTAAGAACGGAACGGGGGATGGAAACGTTCTTAATTAAGAACAGAACAAGAGGGATGCAATCGTTCTTCAACTAAGAACGCCAAGAACGGAACGTAACGGGAAGACCGTTCTTCTACTCAGAACGGAACGGAACGGGACGGAACGGAACGAGAACGGAACGATAAAAAAAGAGAAACGAGAACGGAACGATTTAGCTGAAGGCCCTCGTTCTAGAAAGGAACGATTTCAAAAAAGTCGGAACGTGCCCAGCCCTAGTACTGTCCATTCCTTACTACAAAGCGTAGTGTCGACCCAGCACGTTTTATGCAACAAATATCACGGTAGTCAAAGAATATATCAAAAAATCCATATAAAAAGTTTAGGATATTAAATACGAAAAATCTTCATTTTACCTGGAAAAATGGGTTTCAAAGTTAAGACTCATTGAATTTTAACCAAGATTTATCTTGATTTACCTTAAACAGGTTGTAACTTTTAAACTAAGCGTAATTTAAGGTATTAATCAAAAGAGTGAATCTAATTATTCTTATTAATCATTGCATGTTAAGATTGATATTTCATCTTTACGACGTGATTTTTTAGCGTTTTAAATATTTCCCGGCCCCTTAGTCCTTGAACGCAAAGTTTCCAAAAACGAGTTGAGTTTGAATATTTTTTCTTGTTTTACTAAATTGAGTGAATATCTATCTCCAGACTCCTCAGTTGTTACGACAATATGAGAAGGTTTCAACGATGTAAAGTTGTATTCTGTATAAGTTTGCTTTTTTCGAACATGCAAATGTGTTATTCTATGTGAAAATGTAAGGCAAAAACAAACCCCAAAAACGATAATTTTAGAGCCTTTTTGTTTCTTTCAAATAATTATTTTCATTTGCGGTTTCTCTACGAAAGTGACTTAAGCGCATTTCTTCCGGAAAATAAGCATTCCTTCATAAAAAGCTGATTTTTTGGTATGCAATAATTTTCATTTAATCCCGCCCCTTTTAAAAATAATAAGAAATAATAAAAATAATTTGTTATTTTTTACAAAGGAATGTCATTTACTCTCAGACAAATTAGAATCAATGGAAATTTAAACCCCCGAGGGATTCAATGATAAACCCGAGGGCGCAGTCTGAGAGTAAATGATACAATGGAGAAAATCACAGAAATAAAACTTTTCGAGTCAGAAAAACTAGAGTTTCTTCCAGATTTTGATCAGATTGAGATTTCAAGAGTACCGTTGTAATTCAGGCATTGCATATTTGCATAGATGTCTACTTTAAATTACGTTTACAGGTTTGGATATCAAAACAACATCTAGAGAAGACGATTTTCTTCCACGTTGAAATTGCTAACCAGATAAGACAAAGATCGATCTCCAGGTAAAAATATCCTTCCAAACTGAGGAATATGACTGAATACACTAAGAAGCATTTTATATAATTATAGAATGTGTACAATTTAACATAAATAAGCAAGTTTATATAACTATACTCACTGTTCTTTACAATATAACATATACACTATATACATGGTGAATAATGGTCTACCTATTAATTCATGTCTTCTGAAGAGCAGGGTTAACCTCAAAGAATGAGACTTTTTCAAACTATCGTTTTCAAAATGTAACTTTGTATTTCTTTTGAAAACGATCGCTTTAAAAACTGTCATTTTAAATAATGATGATTTTTTCTCAAAAACTATTGTTAATTTTCATCTATTTTTCATCATCAAAGAAATGATAAAAACTGTTTTTGATAAAAGTAAAAACTGTTCATCCCAAGTCAGAGCCATGATCCTTCCAATTCTGTAAAAAATATCTCGGGTTTTTTCATTTGTTTGTATCTCTTACATGGCTTCCAATCGTCTCGCTAAACTATGAATTTTGGATTTGACAAAGTCTATTATATTCTGTTCTGAGGTAACCAAAAATAAAGGTAGAACGAAGATATACCCCCTCTTGGTGATAGTTACAATCTCTACAAATAGTTTTTCTGAAGTATGGTTGGTTTTGTGTAAATACAGGTATAGAACTGACAAGAGCGCCATTATTATGAGGAACAAACTAAAGGTGGCAGATCTCAATAGAAACTTTTTAGATGTTGTTAGTAGAATATTCAAGATTCTATATTTTTCTACAGACGGGCTGTTTTCGATAGCTGCAGGGGCTCTTTCATGTTGGGTAATTTGTAAACTATTACCACTAGTATCTGGTTCCTGGTGGGTAATTTGTAAACTATTACCACTAGTATCTGGTTCCTGGTGGGTAATTTGTAAACTATTACCACTAGTATCTGGTTCCTGGTGGGTAATTTGTAAACTATTACCGCTAGTATCTGGTTCCTGTTGGGTAATTTGTAAACTATTACCACTAGTATCTGGTTCCTGCTGGGTAATTTGTAAACTATTACCGCTAGTATCTGGTTCCTGGTGGGTAATTTGTAAACTATTACCGCTAGTATCTGGTTCCTGGTGGGTAATTTGTAGACTATTACCACTAGTATCTGTTTCAATGCTTTTCAGCAGTTCTGATCGTACAAAATCTTCACAAAGTTCAATTCTTCCAGTTGAACGGATTTGCCACCATATTTTCCAGGAAGTCAGGAGCATACGCTTGCTGCAAAGTATTAAAATCCGGACTGATTTTTGTTCGTATTGAGTCAAAAACGCCATCATCAGAAGAACTACTTTGATCCCAGTCTTCATCAGGATACATTGTACCAGGTTGAACACAAATCTCAACTACCTCATCAGGGTTTACTTGATTATTAACCTCTCTAAGATCTGTAGTACAATCTCCTGTGCTGATAGTTTGTTGGCTGGTTAGATTGATATCAGGGTTCGACAGTATGGATCCTGGATTTCCTATTTCTGATGCGACAGATTCTTCAAAATTTCCGTTTTCCATCTGCAATGAGACTGTCTGAAAAGGCTGAGAAGCTGCAGCAATTCTGTTGTTTCTCCTTAGCTCTCTGCCCAGTACTACAGCGAACCGTAATATTTCGAAGAGAAATATTGTGACAATGATAGGCTCTACAATGATGACTAGACATCTAACACATTTCTCCTCAGGAAGATCCAAACCAAACTTTGCCACGTAAACAGCTCTAAAGAGACACATGGGTTGTGTTGCGAACTCTTTGCACAGTACGCTGGAAAGTATCAGGTTCACTATTGCTGTTAGTATTGATACAGATGCCATTATCTTTCCAACCTTTTTATGGTTCAGGTTTTGAAAGGTCACTAAAATTAAAATACTATTAACCATTGTTCAAACATCTTTATAATTCAATATAAATGTAAGCTTTAGTAAAAAAAATCCTGTTACCTGGATCCAAAACTAAGAGAAGTCTAGATGTGACCAAGCAAAGAACGTTTGCGAACACCAGGG